AATATGAAAACTAGTTAAGAGTGGGAAGCATATCGCTTCTGAATTTCTCTCTTCATTCATTTAAAAGCTTTCTTCTCATGGCTTCCACAAGACCACACTCTCCTGTTTTCTTCACCTTTGTCCCTTTGGTGGCTTATCATTCTTTATGACCTGTAAATACTAATGTTCCCAAATGCTCAATCCTGGGCCCTGTCCTTTTACCTGCCCTTTTCTCTAGCTATACTTTCTCCCTAGTAGATCTCATGCAGACTTGTACACTGATGACTTCAAAATCTATGTGTTTGTATCTATAGCATTCCTCTAAATTCCTGACTGGTATTGTTGAACTGGTCACTTTGTATCTCCATTTGAATGTTTAGCAACATTCTCTGCCTTAATATGTTCAAAGCAGAATTATTAATCCCACATCCCCTGACCTATTTCTCCCCCAGTCTCCATAAGTCTCCACCAGTCTCCGTCAGTCATCAGTTGCTGAGGTAAAAAATTTAGGATTTATCTGTTTTTCTCTCACTTCCTGCATCCAAACCATCAGCAATATTAACAGACAATATAATACTCCGCATCTTTCATTGTTCAGATATATTTATAAAAGCTCTTACATGAATATGCATATATATGGCTTTTGGCTTAATTGAAATGACTAGTATGACTCCGAACACATACTACTCTGGAACTTAACTTTTTTCAGTTGATATCCCTGTGTCAGTAAATCTATATTCAACTCTATTTTTTTCTCCCAATTTCTTAATGGATCTCTAAATATATACAAACATCTGTAGTTTTATATATACACAGGATCACAATATATTTACTGGGATGTGGTGGTAATTTTCTTTTTTTCCTATCATTTCTTCCTTCCTTCATTTCTCCTAACTCTCAAATCAAGATAACTAGAGGCACTTGGGTGGCTCAGCCAGTTAAGTGTCCCACTCTTGATCTCAGTTCAGGTTATGATCTCACAGTTTATGGGATCGAGCCCCATGACAGGCTCTGTGCTGTCAGCATAGAGCCTCCTTGGGATTCTCTCTCTCTGCCCCTCCACCATTTGTGTGTGCATACTCTCTCTCAATAAATAAATAAACTTTAAAATAATGTCCAAAAAAAGATAACTAGACAGCGTATATCCACTTGTATCTTTCTCTGTATGAAAAAAAAAATTTTTTTTAATGCATGTATATAGAGGTTTAAGCATCTTAAGCTTTTCCCATTCAACAAATCCCAAAACCTCATGGAAACTCCTCTAGAACATCTAGTATAGCAAAAATTCATTCCTTTATTTTATTAAAAAAATTTTTTTTCAATGTTTATTTATTTTTGAGAGACAGAGCACGAGCAGGGGAGGGGCAGAGAGGGAGACACAGAATCCGAAGCAGGCTCCAGGCTCTGAGCTGCCAGCACAGAGCCCGACACGGGGCTCAAACTCACAAACCGCAAAGTCATGACCTGAGCCGAAGTTGGATGCTCAACCGACTGAGCCACCCAGGTGCCCCTAAGAAAATTCATTCTTTATTATTTTTTGATTTATTTTTTATTTTTTAAAATTTACATCCAAATTAGTTGGTATATAGTGAAGCAATGATTTCAGTAGATTCCTTAATGCCCCTCACCCATTTAGTCCATCCCCCTTCCCACAACCCCTCCAGTAACCCTCTGTTTGTTCTCCATATTTATGAGTCTCTTCTGTTTTGTCCCCCTCCCTATTATTTTTGTTTCCCTTCCCTTATGTTCATCTGTTTTGTCTCTTAAAGTCCTCCTATGAATGAAGTCATATGATTTTTGCCTTTCTCTGACTAATTTCACTTAGCATAATACCCTCCAGTTCCATCCACATAGTTGCAAATGGCAAGATTTCATTCTTTTTGATTGCTGAGTAATACTCCATTGCATGCATATATATATATATATATATATATATATATATATATATATATATATACATACATATATCACATCTTCTTTATCCATTCATCCATCGATGGACATTTGGGCTCTTTCCATACTTTGGGTATTGTTGATAGCACTGCTATAAACATGGGGGTGCATGTGTCCCTTCGAAACAGCACATCTGTATCCCTTGGATGAATGCCTAGTAGTGCAATTGCTGGGTCGTAGGGTAGTTCTATTTTTAGTTTTTTGAGGAACCTCCATACTGTTTTTCAGAGTGGCTGCACCAGCTTGCATTCCAAAAATTCATTCTTTTAAATGACAGCATTAACATTCCTTGGTATGAATATTACAAAATGTATTCTTCCATTCCATTGTTTAGGAGCATTCTCTTTATTTCCCCCAATATAAGTAACAATACAATTAATATCTTTGTACATTTATTCTTTGTACAAGTATTTTTATTTCTATATACTAGAATTTCAGAAATAGAATTTGCTGAGTCAAAGGATACACACAAATTTTTATTAAATAGTAAGTAGATGGGGCACCTGGGTGGCTCAGTCAGTTAAGTGTTCAACTCCTTGTCTCAGCTCAGGTCACGATCTCATGGTTTATGAGTTCGAGCCCCACATCGGGCTCCACACTGGCAGTGCAGAGCCTGCTATAGATTCTTTCTCTCCCAATCTCCCAATCTCTCTCTGCCCCTCCCCCTCTCACTCTCTCTCTCTCTCCCAAAAATAAACTTAAAAAAAATTAAAAAAAAAAAATAGTAAGTAGATACAATTATTAATCAAGCAGAGGGTAGACAAAATAACAGTAAAACAACTATGTACTTACAACCTAGTTTAAGAAATAGAGCTTTAGTGATTCTCTGAAACCTCCTGGATGCTTCCATATGATTCCTTTTCCCCCTATAGAAAAAAAAAAGGACCTGAATTTTTTTACTTCTCCCTTCAGTTTTTTTCCCTTTGAGTTTTGACATGTTTTTTTAAAAAATGTTTATTTATTTACTCTTGGGGGGAGGGGCAGAGAGAGAAAGAGAATCTCAAGGAGGTTCCACACTGTCAGTGCAGAGTCTGATGTGGGGCTCCATCTTATGAACCATGAGATCATGACCTGAGCCAAAATCAAGCTTCAGATGCTTAACTGACTGAGCTACCAAGGCACCCCTGAATTTTCTTGTTTAAATCCCTGCATAATGTTAATTTTGACTTGTAAAACTTCATATAAATAGAAAAAAAATTATATATCCTTTTATGTCTTTTTTTCCTGCTTATTATGTTTATTTTTTATTTTTTAACCTTATTTTTATTATTATTTTTTGAGATACAGACCATGAGCAGGGGAGGGGTACAGAGAGAGAGACACACACAGAATCCAAGCAGGCTCCAAGCTGTCAGCACACAGCCCGATGTGGGACTTGAACCCATAAACCATGAGATCATGGCCTGAGCCAAAGTGGGACGCTTAACTGACAGAGCCACCCAGGCACCCCTGTTCCTGAGATTTAACCATTTTGATAGGTGTAGCTGGAAATTTCATCTTATTTTTTATTCTTTGGGGGGGCGGGGGCAGAGAGAGAGGGATACAGAGGATTTGAAGCAGGCTCTGGGCTGAGAGTGGAAAGCTCAATGTGGGGCTTGAACTCATGAACTGTGAAATCATGACCTGAGCTGAACTTGGACACTTAACCAACTTAGCCACCCAGGAGCCCGTTTTCAAATGCTGTTTAATCATTCCTTACATAAATACACTACAGTTGATGGGACATTTGCCAATACTGCTAAGAACATTTCCAAACATGGCCTTTGTGGTACACGTGCAAGTTTCTCTAGTTTGCATATCTAAGAGTGTAGTTGTTGGGTTGTAGGGTATGCCCATACTCATCTTTACTAGGTAAAGTCAAATTGTTTTCCAAAGCTGTTATACTAATTAACACTCCCACTAACACTGCATCGTATCTGATTTCCCTAAAACATCTTTTCAATGTTTCTAAGCTATTAATTTGTCCTCTTTGGTGATATTTGCCAATTTAAAAAATTGTTTTTTTCCCCTGATTTGCACGAGTTTGTTATATATTCTAGATCAGTGCTGTCCAACAGAAATAAAATGCAAGTCAAAATGTAATTTCAAATGTTCTAGAAGCCTCATTTAAAATAGTGATAAGAAACAGGCCAAATTATTTTTTATATTTTTTACTTAATAATACAATATACTTACCAAGATATTATCATTTCAACATGTAATACATGCATATATATATATATATATATATATATATTTTTTTTTTTTTTGTACTAACTCTTTGCAATCTGGTGTCTTTTTCATACTTACACACATCTTAATTTGGCCTAGTTACATTTTAAGTACTTGCCAGTTGTATGTGGTTAGTACCACTATACTGGGGTGTAGATACTTTTGTTGTTATGTGTGTTGCAGGTCTTTCTGTCCAGTTTATGATTTTTCCTTTCACTTTTTGTCTTTTGACGACAAAGTTTCAAAGGAGCTGAGTTTTGACCCCTTTGGTTTGCACTTTGAATTTTAAGAACATTTTTTCTATCACATGGGCATGTACTAAAGATGATGTATCATTCTATATTTTATTCTAAATCTTTCCATGTTTTGCCTTTCATATTGAAGTCTTTAATCCATCTGGAATTGACTTTTGGGTTAAATATGAAATAAGGATCCATTTTTACTTGCTCTCCAGATGGATAACCAGTAAGATAACCTAGCTCTCATATTTTGATGTTGGTTTTGTTTTTGTAAATGGTATGTTTTATTTGCTTGTGCTTTCTAACTGCTGGATTATGGAAATGCAGTTGACTTTTTTTTTTT